ATCTAATGTTTGTTTCGATTCAACCACTCATTTTGGTTCATAGAACGTGGGAACATGTAACAATAGTGGCTGCTGCTGCCGTCCCGTTTCCAAATTTGAAAGTGATGATGATCGCAGGTGGAGACAAATAAATAATAAAACCCACAGGTTATGCCTTGAGAGGCTCAAGTTGACTTTTCCCAACCAGAGAAAAATTTGCAGTACAATTGTTCTTCTTGTCTTAATAGTTTAATTAGCATTTTGTTATGAAAACTGCGGCTAGTTTGTTGTTTCTGTGTTTTCACACTCAACGTCGAAACCACTACTCTCCCTAATAATCATAATATACTTTTCAAAATATTAAACTGGCGCGGGGTTACAATAGTGATTGTGGCCTTGCTCTTTCCCTCTGCTCGACGCCGAAAATCAAAATTGGAAGGGGAATATTCATAGCTGATACTTATTTTGTTTGTTTTTGTTATTTATTTTAAATCAACGCTAGCGATTAATTAATTGAAACCAAATTACCAATCGGGATCAACATTAATTATCAGCATAACAACCTTCGTCTGCCTCTGTGTGTTGTGTGCTTAAAGTTATGATGCAACTTGCGCAGCTGGAGCGTGTATATATATATAGAAAGCTGGGGGTCAAACTGCAATAATTCCCACCTTTCAAGGATCTAATAGTGGATTCCACGTAATTTGTTTTTTTTTTGTTTGGTTAACTCTTATTCTAACCAAGCTGTTAATCAGTAAAACCAATCTGTCAATCTGTGAACTGTATTCAACCAAATTAATGTTTTCTTAGAGTGTATAACTGATGTTAAAGACAGTCGCAGTCAGTGAATCGTTAATGGAAATGAATTTCACAACTTTATAATTGATGACAACTAATTATGCACGCATGAGTGACTGTCGTAAATACGCATTTGAACTGATGTTTTGTTCTTTCTTATCTAGATAGAGGGCCTAACAGTCCAATTACTGTGATATCTCCCGTACGTGTTCATGCAAAGTTGGGTGACTATCTATCATGATTCATGAGAGTCATTAATTCTGGCCAATTGTCAAAGTTTGAGAGGCCCCAAACACCCATGTATAGTAATTAATCAATAGAAATTTGATGAACATATTCATAAATACGTACAGTCAAGTGTGTAAAGCTCTTCAATTATTGAGTGACAACTTCACGAGAGCAGTGTCCTTGTTGGTGAAGGCACAGTAGTTTTCAGAATTGAATGCCATATCTACTTCCATGGACACTCACTAAGACAGGATATGGGCAAGAAAAGAAGACTCGCTGATCATATCAGAAATTGCACAGCAGCTCACAGACATGTATGAATTATAAATATATATATATATATATATATGCCACAAAACAACATAGTAAATGAAAATGGGGCTCAAAGTTGTTCGAGTTAGGTATGTGCTTTAAAATGTGCCTATAAATTTGCAGGCTTTTTTGTTCCAGGAGAATTAAAGAGGAGAAAAGAAAGAAAGAAACCCAAGAAGAAGCTGCCATGCCAGCTATTTGGTGTTGAAAAAACAGACACCATTCAGAAAAAGAAATTGCCCTTCTTTTTCCATGCCAAACCAACCTACCTATTCCGTGATGACTTTTTTTTTTCCCACCAGCAAATCATATTTACCTGCTTCCATTGTAATTATAATATTATTAATGAATAAGCTGGTTTAAGCGATGTGATCAGTCGTGCCTCTTCAGCTGGATGCCATTATTTATCTGCTTTCTGTGAGGGGGAATTATAATCATATCATGGTAATGTAAAATTTTCCTTTAGATGATTATGACAAGCACAAAGGGATAAATCCTTGAGGGATTCGGATTAAGCAGGAATTGGCCACCGCGCCCCCCACCATGAGGAACTTTTCAAAGTCCAGAAAAGTAATAATCATATGTTATATATCATTTAAGACAAAGTTTCTTTCTTGTATAAGTTAAAGCGACAATGATGGAGGACATATTTGAGAAGGGTTTTAATTAGTTTTGAGAAAATTGGCATCTCATATTATCATTAGGTTTGCTGGACCCGCAATTTGCCCCACCTGTATAATCATGTCATCTAGTTGGGTGATGTAAGTTGAATTTCGCGATGATCAATTTTTTTTTTTCCACTTTGATTATTTCATTTATATGAATCTTACATGTATCAACGATTGAGAATCGTTTATTCACCTGACGGAGCGTAATATCTAACTTTTGCATTGTTTAAAGCAAATCCATAATTAAGTGGGATATGCTTAGTGTAAGAAACATTTCTTATTCCCTAATGATAGGATTTTTCACTGAATCCCCAACCAATTTAGACAAAAAGAAAAAACAATGCACTAATAACACTTGGTATTGGGCCCGCAATTTCCTTAGTGTGGCACTATTTTCTGATTCATCCATGGTGTGAGACTTTTGAATGGCCAAGAAGAAGGTAAGAAGCTTTTTTCTTTTTCTTTTTCTTTTTCTTTATTTTTTTTGACATTCCAGTCTACATACATTTCCATATATATATTTCTTTGAAAGCATGCGGGACAAAGCTCTTTCGGCTTTCCTTTGGTTAGTGAAAGGTGATTTGATGTTGAAGTACAAGTTGCTTCAAATATCCCAATCTCTCAATCCCATATGTTGCTTCCAGCCATCCAAAAGATCCAAACTTTTTTTCTTCCTCTCCACATATATCTCATGAATATATATATATATATATATGTTAGGACTTAATTTGGACTTTTCTTGAGCAAAAATTGTATGTAATTCTAATCCTAACCTTTTCTTTTACTAAATCCACCTCTGGGATTGGGGTTCCTTGTAATTGAACCCCACGATTTGTCTACAAAGGTAATTAACAACAAACGGAAATCCAAAAACACCATTAGAAAACCTTAATGTATATATTAGTCACTGTTCACTTTGAAGTTGAAAAAGATTTGACATTGAAAGAATAGTATGTGATCAAGAGAGTGATAGTATTGGGGGGAGAGAGAGAGAGAGAGAGAGAGAGAGAGAGAGAGAGAGAGAGGTTGCTTTTCCTTTGAATTGAATGTATGATGAAGAAGGCATTGGGTTGCTTGGCAAAGACGTCGGCTTTCTCATGGTCGCCTATAATATCTTTAAAATGGTAAGCGTGAAAGTTACATGAATGACATGACAACCAATAGAATATATATCTTGTGAGGAACTCATTGATTTTTGAGTTGAGAAACAAGGATAAGGAAACAAAACCCCTACAAACATGAATTATCCACTCAAAACTATCCCGTTAATTATATATTAAAGTGGTAGAGCCCATCTCTAAGGCATATCATACCAGGCAACTCAAGTTTGATGCATCTAATCTACTTTATTATATATTTCTAAGCGTCCCATTTCTAATATTAGGTGTATAATGGTAGATATTGGTTTAGCCAAACTGGTTAGAGCGGATGTGTTCCCCACTTTGCACCCGAGTTCGAATACCCCTTTCCGTAGTTTAAATTAGATTGAAGTAGAATATATTCATTATATAATTAAATTACAATATTTTTTTTTCCATGGGCCAAATTAAAAGGCAAAAAATAATAATAATAAGAAAAAAAAGAAAAGAGTATGGTGCATGCATGATGCATGTGACATTTATTATATAGCTTTAGCAAGTGGAGATGGAACCCCTTATGGCTTATGAGGTGGAGACAATTTAGGATGGTTATGATATGTACCATCTCTATCTTCTGTCTTCTTTGTCGATCTTCAATGGGACAGTGGAGAACCAATCTTGTTTCTTTTACCATTTTCTTATATTTGTGGAAATCATGTGGGCTCTCTCTCATCGTTGCCCTTGAAACGTTTCTAATACTAATAAAAAGTTTTTCATAATATCTTCCCCTGTAATCTCCAACCCCAACCCCAAACCTAAACTTTTATGCATTATTTTTCAACACTAATGAAATTAAATTAAACAATTCCGAATCGGAATTTGAATTATGAGTCAATCCTTGTGGGTTGCCAGCAGCATTGTACCTGCCCTTTGATTCCACCAAATTCGAAGGAGGAGGTCACGTGGCCAAGCATGTGTTGGCCCATCCCATGTCGATGATTCTTGTTGACCAGATTCTGATGATTAACCAATTAAAAATGGTTGGTTTTTAAGGTCTTGAAATTTAGGGGTGATAAAACAAAAATAGAAATATGCTTCACGATGTAGTGCTTTTTTTTCCTCTCTTTTTTTTGTGCATCTTGCTTAATTTGGTGCCATGCAGGTGCAGCAATCAGATGGAATATGCTAACATGGGTTCATGCCAGCTGCTCCAAATGATGATGATGATAAAAAGTCGGATACCTTTATCATGACAAGTGACTCAAATAATTTTTTTTTGGTTGTGTGGATAAAGATGTGTAAAATGGATATGTTTTGTCACTAGCCATTTCAATACAATTCATGGTTCATGGCTTGAGCCCAAAAAAGTTAGAGCCTAGCCAAACCTATCCAGGGCTCTGCGTATGGTGATATAGAATCTGAGACCTGAATGGGGAAAATACTTCCCTCCTTCCCTTGTAAATAGGAACTTCCATATTTATGCCATTGACAGGAAGATCTCTCTCGGGAGGAGGCAAGAAGTATCACCCAAATAGTTGAGTCCACCTGATGGGTCTGAATTTGTGATGAAGGTTAGCATGTTGGTTCTTATCAGTAGCAGTTTATAATAAACTTCGCCATGGTTTCCAAATGTTGTATGGGAAATGCAGAAAATGTACATATGAAGATTGTGATTATATTGAGCTCAGGTATAAGCTTTGATATTTTGTTAAAGATTAGACTGATAAAAGGGAAAAGATTTTAGGCCCTCATCATAATAATATTTGACTTCAATAAGCTTACAGTTTCAATTGAGGCCAGATATAATAATAATATATTACAGTAGTTACAAGAATAATTCATCAAACAAAACTTCAAAATCAGAAAAGCTTTACATCACTCAAGAATAATGAGGTATATCACAATTGGGAAGAATGCAGATGCTGTTGTTGTTTCGTTACTGTTTCTCCTCACCTTGCCATGCCCACACAACATCTTTGAGAGCTGGTCTTATATCCTCTTTCAGTATCTTCTTAAATTCCAATGTATCACCATTGGATTTCTTCATCTCAACTAGATGAAAGGATGGAGTGAACTCAAAAATTTCAGTCTCTATGGACAATGCCCCCTTCCTGCCATCCTTGGATTTCTCCAATTTCAATAACCCTCCATCCTTGTTTACTTTCAGCCTCAGCTGCTGGGCAATGTCCTCCAGCTTAGATATAATTGATGAGGCAGACTGCACAGATGTGAACTGTGCTTCTTTCTTTGTATCTTTTCCCATAAACAAACCAGACAAATCAAATCCACTTGAAAGAGAGATGATATCAAAAGCATTCAAATTGGTAGGTCTGGCCAACTCTTGCTTTGCCTCAGTATTATGATCACTGCTGTCACAATTATCAAATGCTGCATCAACATCCACCAAAGCCAGTTTTTCGACTTCTGTTATAGTTGTAATGGATTTGGAGCTGAACCCTTTTCTAAACCAAGGACTTTCCATTATGTTTGAAATGAGAATCCTTTTATTTGGGTTGGGGTTGAGGATTCTTGACAGAAGCTTGCGCACTTCAACTGAAAACCAATTGGGGCATTTATACTCGGCTTTGCCTATTTTCTTATACATTTGTATAAGATTTGTATCATGGAATGGCAGGCAACCAGCCAATAGTACATATAAGATCACCCCCGCAAGACCAAATGTCAGCTTTTTCGCCATCATAGGCTTTTCTACCTACAACTTCAGGAGCTACATAGGCAGGAGTTCCACAAGTTGTGTGCAGTAGGCCATCTTGCCTCTTGGATTCAGCAAGGGCACTCAACCCAAAATCTGATATCTTTAATGTTCCATTTTCATCTAACAGCAAGTTCTCCGGCTTCAAATCGCGGTGATAAACACCTCTGCTGTGGCAAAAATCAACAGCACTGATCAGCTGCTGAAAATACATCCTTGCCATGTCCTCCTTGAGCCTTCCTTTTGATACCTTGTGAAAAAGCTCACCACCTTTGACATATTCCAAAACAAAGTAGATCTTGGTTTTGGTAGCCATGACCTCATAAAGCTGCACTATGTTTGGGTGTTTAACCAATCTCATAACAGATATCTCTCTTTTAGTTTGATCAGTTAGGCCAACTTTCGTAACCTTCTCTTTGTTAATTACCTTAATGGCTACATTCTGGCCAGTTTGGAGGTGCCTTGCATGATAAACCTTAGCAAAGTTTCCTTGGCCTAACAATCTCCCAATCTCATACTTTTGCATCAACACCTTACCCTTATTTTCCATTCCAAATCTTTTAACTCTAATTAATACACAACAACAATACTAATAATAATGTTCTATATGTCCTGCTACTATGAGAAATTTTACTCACAGGGCAAGAGTCTTCAGCGCCATTCAACGCAACAGAAACTCTCTTTGCGGCTTCAATATGCAATATTTGGACCCTGATCTCAGTTTCACTGTGTGTTTAGGATCCAACCTCATCGAGAATGTACAAGGGCAGGCCAGATTGAAATCTATTTCAAAGTGTTTGATGAAAGAAAAGCACATCTTTTTGCATTCCTCGGTGGCTGTATTTTGCACTGCATGAGAAAAACGAAGAACCCAGCAGGAAAATGATTAAGGTTTCCCAAAAGAAAGTACCAGAACAATCGTTATGACAATAAACACACACATATATATATATGCTAATGCTTATCATTCTGAGACTAACAAGCAATAAAAAGGAATTCCACGTTCTATCATTTTTTTTTAATGAAAACTTTGTCATCTAATTCATCAACCACCTTCTTGCCACTCTGAGAAATTCAGATACACCACACTGACCAGAGGGATATATCAAAACTAAGGTAATAGTTACTTTGCCTATATAGAATTCAATGCAAGTTCCTCAAGATCATCAAAATTAAGCAATCAAACAAAGCAAATCTTAAAATTAAATTGCTGATCATCAAACAAATTCTCCTACGGATCATCGAAATCCATATACGCAATCTGTATTCGGCCAGGCACAACAAATCAATGTATATGAAAACAGAATGAAGAGCTCAAGTCAAGAAATAAACCTCTTAATTAGCTTTTTTCAGAACGGAGAAGATGCTGATACAAAACTGAGGAAAGTTTCCAAGCCACAACCGAAGAAAGAGAGAAAGGAAGAAAACTAAGAAACGCAAATCTATACACAAGTCATCTCTATAATTCCAAGAATATGGGACAACGTTAATGTTTGCATATCGTGACACATATTCTTGGTAAAGTTAAAGCAGTCAAATATACTGAAAGACAAAAGAGCAAACAGCTATGGCAAAAAATCCAAAGGAAGAAAAGGAAAGTGAAGAGGTTACCTTTGAGGAGAAGACACAAAGCCTCCACAGGATCTGAACGTTGGAAGGAAAGAGAAAGATAGAAATGAGAGGATACAAAAAGCAATGTGTTACAAACGTTATGGCCGTTTGTATATTCCACTAAATTCGTATTGAAGTTGTTAAGGAAGGTCGGTCTATCTACCTCTCACCATGCCTTGTTGTTGTACTACCTTAGTTAGAACTCGGAAACCAACCAAATTGTGACAGCTCGCTCGAGGCCCCCACCGGTTGGTTTACAGTTTGTCTACTCATTTTAAATAAAATTGTATTTTATTTTACAAGGCTGATAATTAAACTAATTTACAATTAAATGGTCTTAATCATCATTCTAGAACGTATTTTACTCTTGTATGTTCGTTCCTTATAAAGAGTCATAGGCTTAATTGCCGGGAAGGGGACCATAGATGAATTGGACTAATCAATCAGACGAGACGTTGTGTTGTCTTAATCTCGATGATTAGTGACGGTGGGATTCGGTGTTTGTAATGTTCATGCTTAATTAGGTTTAATGATTGATCATATTCTCGTGGACCAACCTAGCTAGCAAGAAAAGAAAAAAAATAAATAAGAGGCGTGCATGCTTCATGCTCTCCATGCCCCATGGTATAAAATCTTTGACAAATTTCAGATGTTGCACGTTTCAGTGGCTTATTAGTTCTTAGATGGCTTTGAAAATGACCAAACACCAACCAACCAAAAAGAAGAAAAGGAAGATTTGGACAAGGTTTTATTAAGCAGAATAATTTAGACTCAATCAAGCTGCTAAAAATGTACCTTAACAACAAAAAGGATTACATTAACTTATTCACCAAGAAAAGAAGGCTCCAAAAAAATTAGCCGGTGCTGATTATTGAAAACTTATTATATAATAGAGATGCACCAACAAGTTCATCATTAGCTGGGGCAAGCTTGGTAGGTGAACAACCAAGCTTATATATACGTGATCTTGAAGCACATGTCAGAGACTCTATAATTAAATCTTCTTCACCCAGAATCCCGGAAATGAGTGCTTGCATATATTCGTTGAAAATGCAGTGTAAGATTTCATACACTAATTAGCTGTTAAATCCATAAACAAACGCCACTTGTGTCCCTGCTTAAGGAGTTGCACAGAAAGGCTTTGCATGTCTAAATAGCCTCAATAGAAAAGGAAGGCCTCAACAAATTACAAAGACCAGTATAATTAATTTAACAAGGGATAAAATTGGAACAAAAAGTTACAAAGAAAGGAGCTCAATGAACTAAGCAGAAATTCATTCAATCTAAATAAAATTTTTAGTATCTGATTCCTTTAGCAACCTCAAAGAAATGAGCAACATTCTCCTCAGGTGTACCTACTACAATGCCATGGCCAAGATTCAAAATATGTCTCCCTCTACCAGCTTTCGTCACTGTATCATTTATTCTGCTGGTGATGAAATCCTTTGAACCAAAAAGAACACCAGGATCCACATTACCTTGAACTGCTATATTTGGTCCCAGTCGTCGTCTACCTTCAGCCATATCAACAGTCCAGTCCAAGCTAACTACATCAACACCCGTCAAAGCCAGCCTCTCAAGCAGACCCCCAGATCCACTTGCATAAAGGATTAAAGGGAGATCTGGATGGGTCTCTTTCACACCATCCACAATTTGCTTCAAGTATGGGAGACTGAATTCCTCAAAATCAACAGGGCTGAGCTCTGTGGCCCATGAGTCAAAAATCTGAACAGCTTGAGCTCCACTATCAGCTTGGTATCGAATATACTTTGTCATTGAAGTTGTAAATTTCTGAAGTAATGCATGGAGGACCTGAGGAAAGAACCATAGCTCAACAAAGTTGGTCAACAGGCAGAAAAGAGGGGAGAAGACATTAAAAAAGAAAACAAAGGAGATTTTTATGGATTAGAAAATGGATATTCACTCCTTCGTTAACAATGCAACACTCCCAAAAAACATCAAAAGTACTGGTGAATGTTGCAAGATGGGTTCGCAACCAAAAACTTTCTCACAAAGGGAGTACCCTAGGAGCTACTAACCAAGTTGAAGGTGAAATAATATAAAGGTGTCGGATGATGAGAATCAATTATCATTAGTAGAACTATCGTAAAGCAAATTTAGGAAGATGGATGCTAAAGGACCTTACTTATTGGCTCTCTCACAATGCATGTAACCACGATGATAAATAATAAAAAATTAGAAGATAAAAGAGCCAAAAAAAAGTAAAAAGGGGAACGACTTGCATCTAAGTTTCAGGCCTTCAGTCACACCAAAAATAACCCAAATAGGAAATGCTGTAATCGGGCTCAATACGCCCCAGTAGGTAGTCAATGGTGTATCACCAAGGAAGAGCACTAAAGCACATTTGTATCCAAGCTTACAGACCTCAAGTCACGTAAAACTAGATATGAGCAGCACTAGAATTACCTTCGGTTGAGAGAAGGCTAATCTCTTAATCTTTGTGAAGTGTTTTGATGAACCACCTTCCACCACATACGATGCAAGGGTAAAAGGAGCCCCAACAAAGCCTAGCACTGCTGCCTGATTATCTACCTGGAAAGGTAAAGATATGGGTGAGGATAACAAAGGTTATAATGCTGGCTGTAGCAGAGAACACCTTTTCAAATTTCACGAAATAAAATGAGTAACTTTATAAAGCTTCAAAATGTAAATTACATAATAAACTAAAATGAGATTTAAAACATCCAGTTAGACGTGTGAAACAAGAGAAGGTTGTTAGTAAAAAAAAAAAAAAAAAAAAAAAAAAAAAAAAAAAAATCATGTTCTTCAAAGTCTCCAAGGTAGCAATTAGGACAGATTATCTCTGGACAATTTTGGAAAAGACTCTGGTCTCTCTTCCAAATACCATGTGAGATTTTTTTTTTTCCTCTGATCCTTCTCATCAGAAAAATTATTGACACCATATCAGCAAAGATGCTAAATTTAGTGATTTATACATATAATTTGCTCTAGTTCACAGTGAAATCACGAAGATATTAAAAGTTCGAAAATCAATAAGGAGGCATAGAGTTAGACCTCTTTTCGCAAGATTGTCAATGCTTCCCCAACATATGGAACTGACTCTTGAGGAACAAATTCTCTTACTTGATCAACATCCTCAGCTGTATGCAGAGGATCAAATATTACAGGACCCCTGCCCTTTACAATGTCAAATGGTATATTCATCCCGGAGAGAGGAGTAAGAATGTCAGAGAATAAAATGACCTGTCACAAACATGAGAGACTTGTGAGAAAAAGAAATAAGTAACAAAACTACAATATGTAAGTGGCTAAACTGGAAAACCACCAACGATGAATCCCAAAGTGGCATCTTACTCCGTCAGGCTTGAAAACCTTCCAGGGCTGTAGAGAAATTTCGACAATAAGGTCAACGTTTTCAGATCTTTCTCGAAACGACGGATACCTCTCGCAGAGAGTTTGATAACTCTGTCATATACAAATGCTGAAATAAGTTAGTGAACGTATCTAAGCAGAAGAGAAGTAGCCACTCCAGTCTTAGGCCTTACAAGAACTAGGAATAATTAACAGAGAATAAGATAGCAATATATATAAATAATGAACCTGCCTTCATGTACCTCCCTGCTTGCCTCATGAGCCAAACTGGGGGCCTTTCAACATCGTCCCCACGAACCGCATTGAGCAAAAGCGGCTCAGCAACAGAGGTAACTTTGGGTTCTGCCACACTCCCTGAATCAAATACACATGAATTACAATGTGAAAGACAAAATGAGTATCCGGGAGAGACATTGATACAAGAGGGAAAAATTCAAACTTGGCAAGCATACGATTGTGTGCTAAATAAAAGAACCTAAATTGGAACAGACCCAACATCAATTAGACCATTTCCTACAAAACCCAGGTCGTAGCTTTCAAATTAAGCATGGAAATGACGCCGTGTTATTGAATTACCTCCGAGTGCACAGAGGAGCTTAGGCTTGGAGGCGCATCTGGATCTTCGTGTAAAGGAAGACGAGGAGGGAACAGAGAAGGAAGCTATGGAGCCGTAGCTGTGAATGCAGGACATGTTTGGATGCGAGGATAATTAATTGGTCTCTCTCTAACTCCAAGCTCTTCGCATATCCCTCTCTCTCTTCTCAGCGAAGATGGAAAAGGGAGAATAAGTCTGTCAGAGGAGGATGACAATAACGATAAGGGGATTTCCACACCGGTGCTGATTTTTTGCCATGTCACCACCACTCCCAACAGTCAACGGTAACGAAAATGAAGCGCTTCAACGACTGTCGTTTAGTCATCCTATCACGACGTGTCGTTTAGTCATCCTATCACGACGTGTCGTTGCTTACAAATAATAATACAAACAAATTTAATCCATTGAAAATTGAGGTCCCCAGCCTTATCCAATATCAAGGAACGAAATTTTGAGGCCAATCTTACCTCATAGAAATTTTGCTCTTGTATTTTGAAAGCGAAAGCAGATTGAAACTTGTGTTTCCAATAATCAATTCACTTCCCAATTATAAATATAACAATCGGCCATTGATTATTTATTGGAGTTCTAAGATTTATATACTGAGACGTCAATGGAAGCGTTTTTTTAAATTTAATTTTTGTGTGTATAACATCGGAAATGAGCTTTTCACTATAATAACTTTGTATATCAAAGACGAAAAAAAGAAGAGAAAAAAAAAGAGATCAGGTACAAACCAAGAAAAAAGGAAAAAGCAGATGATCAGCTGCTAGATTACAAGATGGGGGAGAGAATTTGAAGAAGAGAAAAAAGAATTCAGAAAATAGTATCTATTGTTAGCTTCCTCTTTGGTGGAGATTTTTCTATAACCTGCTTTTGCAAGTCCATGAATGTAGAACCCTTGTTAGCAAATAGTCTTCGGAGATTGATCACTGAAAGTTCATTAAAACTAGCAACTGCAAGATCCGCCTGCACCAGGTCATACCTGTGTGTGCCACCATCAATCTCGATCAGGATATACAGTACAACGTGTTCGTACATAGTTAAGGAGTACTTCAATGTATGTGTATTTGAATGTGTATCCATAGGTGTATTCTATATTCATGGGACACCTAAACAGTGCTATCAAGGGTGAAGAGGATGAGAATACATACGCAGGGTGGGCACCGATCAATGCCACTGCCATCATTGTACAGTTGTGGGCAGCAGTTATACCTCTAGGCTCATCCTCAAACACTACACACTTCGATGGTTTTCGGTCCAGCTGCAAGTGGTATAATAGATTGGGTTAGAGAATGATCCCAAGAAAATTAATTGTATTATCGTATACAATAACATGTGAAGAGACTGATTCCAGACACAGTCTTGACTTAACTGGAGAGCTGACCTTTATGGTGACACTAGAAGTACATATTTATACACTAGTAATAGTAAGTTGCAGGAAATACCTTCATAGCTGCAGACAGAAACCTATGAGCTATTGAATCCATTCCATCTTCCTCTGTCACAATTGCCTATAACCCACAATGCCGACAATCAGGTACGGTGCGTGATGTAAGTGGAATTAACAGAAATCCATCACCATTGGTTTATCATTCGCATCTCAATGGGAAATTACAAATCACAAGTTCCGCTGGGGTTTGGTTATAAAGCACTAAACTCTGTTGTAATTTCCATTGGAAAGTTTTGTGTAATTCAAAAGTACACCAACCTGGAAATACTTCTTGAGTTCCATTCGTTCTAGGGCTTCTGTCATGTTTATCCGATCAAGACTTGAAACTACAGCACAAGGGATACGAGCTGTGGATACAGCATCTAGCCATTCCTTGAGCCCCTCCACAGGTTTACTAACCTGGAAAAGGAAAAGGTACATAACATCAGTAGTTGCATGTAAGAGACAAACCTTAAATAAATTATAAACAGCTTAACACTCACCCTGAGAAGATTATCATAATATAGCTGTGAAAACCTTAACGCCAATCTATCTAGTTCTCCTTCTGCTTCATCCCAGAGTAAAAGCTGAAAGTTTTTGGAGACTTATGAGATGCATCCGATACGAGCATCCAATGTGATGGTTTATAGGAAATAAACCATAAATTGTACTAGACTAGAAATAGAAAAATGCAAACAACTACCACAAGTTATAGATAAAGAAAGTTGAATTGCAGGAACAGTATTTAATCCTAAAATGCATTAATTGGTCATGATTAAAAATAATTATTTCTTTTCTTCATGAGTTATGAAGAATAAGATCATAAAAGATGCAACAATGCATCAGAGAAAAAGAATTCAAAGAGATAAATTATTTACATAATAGCTAGACTACTCAACAGAGATACCTTGGGAGCAAGACATTCACATGGAATGTCTTAATCATATGGTTCCTGATCAATATTGCTTTTGCCAAGGATCATAACCTTCTCAAAGATGGAGCTACACTTCTTTAAATCTTGCCAAATTTAACATAATTTACTGGGAACCAAAACTTGCAGTCTAATGCTCCATTTTGTTTTTACAGAATTGCTTTATTAAAAGCAGCTCTAAAACCCCATTGTCTCTTAAATTCTCTATACTCAATAATTTTTTCTCTAGGCAATCAGAGTTTGTAGAGATGTTACTGTCTAATAAGAGATGCATTTACTAGTCAAAACACTGCATCTTATCTGACTATTTAGATAACCACAAATCCTTAAATGAACACTAATCCCAAACCTTATGCAACACATGATCAGCACCTGCATAAAGCATTCGTCCTTGCACATCCGCATCTTCAGGAATTTCCTTTCCTGACAAAGAATAAAAGATTTAGGAACAAAAGAAAGTATATAATCAGAAACAACTGCTAATGAAACCAAAGACAGTCAGGATAATCTCGAATATCTGAGCCTCCGGACTTCCCAAAAAGAAGCAAAAAAAAGAGTTTTAGAAGCACACAAAACAGATGGAAAACCAGTTCAGCATTTTATCCAACATTAAGAATGCACTGAAAGGCCTGCCATGGGCTATAAAAGGGAAGAAATGGCTGCATACCCTCTTCTGAGGCAAGTTGCTTCCAAGAATTTAATTTCAATGTTCGAGTATCAGCCTGAAACACATAATATACACATTTAATAATTGCACATTTAAATCTTTTTCTTGATGATTTTGGCATATCATTTCTAACCACCAAAACTTCAAAACATATAGCTAATGAGTGTTTTTTTATTTATTTCAAAGTATAGCTAATGAGTGTTACAAAAACTTACCACAACATTGTCAAAAGAGAAAATAAGACCATACGCTTCATCAGGTTTCATGGCATATCGTATACGTTGAAGAAAACCTTCTTGGAGTCTGTCGTTCAAAAAATCCTACTCAAAATAAGAATTAACACTAGTAAGTTCTTGCCTATGCTCTATGAGAGCCAGAAAGTATAACGAGTAAATAAATTTGACAGAACATCATAAAAAACAATTTGGCTGATATACATATACCCCCATATCCTTACCACATCAACCTTGAGAGGCCCATCTGGTCTAAAAGTCTCAAAACCTTCTCCATATTCAGCTCCAATTGCCTGAAACGCCAAAAAAGAGAAGGAAAAACATTAAGCTCATCAAAATCACCTACCTTTTCTTTTCTTTTTCTGAAGAACAAAAACAAAACCCAGAAACTCTGGTTCACCAATATTTTCCATACACACACAAACAAAAAGAAGCAAACTTACAATTAAAAACCGAAACTTTTCAAGCTCCGCTTTCACAACGTACACAAATACCCAATAAATAAAGAAAACATTAGAAGGGGAACAATCAGTACCTCTTGCATGAAAAGCTTGTTGGGTGTGACGGAAAACCCATTAACAGAGCCGTTTTCGTTGAACCCACAAGCACTCCTTACCACCCGGGCATGCTTAGCCAGGTTCAAACGCTTCAGTGTCTGTGAATTAGAAGCAATCAACAGCCAAATTAAAACACGAAAATTACAGAAGATAGAGAAAGGCATACCAAGAATCTGAGCTTGGAAGGGAACGAAGAGTGTGGATGAAGAGATGGGGATCGCCCGAGAAGAAGCAAAGACGAGCTTCTGAAATTGCTGCAAGCACAGTCCATCAGAGATGAATACAGAGCCTCCAAGCCCTGAGAGAGAAGTTGCTTTACTTCGAATTTGTTTATTTTATTTTTAATATATAATTATTTTCTCTTCTTCTTCTTTTTTGGAGTAAAATTTGTAAAAATCTTTTGTTGATGGGATGCTCGTTTGAGATTGCTATGAAGTCCACGTGACCGTACGTTACCTTTCACGTGCTATCAGTATCAGAGAGACAGAGGTCATATCTGTTTTTTCCTAATTTTTTTTTTTTTTTTTTTTTTTTTTTTTTTTTTAAGATGACCACCCTCATCTTATTTTATAATAAATATTTCTTATTTATTTCGCACCAAAAGAGAATATCTCCTTCAACATTTTTTTTTTGTTTTCTTCTCTTTTATCCTTGATTTTTCAAAGTTTTTCTCTGGTATGAATTATTTAACTGTGCCTCTGTATTTGCAAAATTGCTAAAATGTGACCAAACTATGCCTTTGTCTTGACTTTCAAATCAGTAGTCTTAAGTTTGAAACTTCGCGACATCAGTATATGTGAGAAAAACCTCATTTCCCTTTCTAACTTTGACAACAACAAAAAGTAAAAAAAAAAGAAAATGGAAGTACTTGGAATGAAATTGTAGTAACTTATCGAAAATATTAGGATGTTTATAGAATTCCAACATTTTTCATGAGTTATATAAACCTCACAATACTATAGATGAAAGAGTTTTGGAAAAAAGGAACGAATTTTAAAGCATTTTCCAAAGTATAAAAGAGAGTTGGATTTAATGCATGATGCCCTTTTGGGTGAGTGAGGTTAAACATTTACCATATTTCCAAGTAGGAGAAGAGTAGGAGGCCTATGATCAAGAAGGCTTGGGAATGGAGTTAGTTGGATATTAGGTCAATCATACATCTAATTTAACCCCCTTTTTCCCTTATATAATTATGTTACACATGATTTGTAATTAGCAAATAATGGTAATTAGCATACACATGAAACCAGTAGCAAATAATGGTAATTAGCAAATTAACATGTACTTAATAGAATCATAGCCGATGGGTTTGACTGAAAGACTTGAAGCTCCTTTTTCTGGAAGTGCTAGGTGAGACATTTTCCAAAGGATAATACAAACAAAATATCTACTTCTCAAGTATCTCAATCTCACATCAAAAAGCGAAACTTTTTCAACCCTTTTTGTTAGAATCCATTACTACTACTATACAATAGCCAAAATGACTTGCCTTTGAGAAAACAGGTAATGGGAAAATAATCTCAGGATGTAGATTTTCCACCATTGCCAATTGGATGCTGGCATCAGCCCAAAATGATCAGCAAAAGAAAAAGAAACCTTAAGGCGATTTCTCAAACTTCAGAGTCTTCAAAAATCGTACTCCATTTGCCTGAGGGAAACTCATACCCTATTGGCCTGTATCATGAGGGGATGAAGTTTAGGGAATTAGCAGGACAATGCAGACTAAGGAAAGAGAGGAATGCAATTTTAGACACAAGCGTACCGAGCGTAGGTCTGCCAGGATCCAGCTCTACCATAGTTGTCCCAAAGCTCATCAGTGCCATCAGAATTCTCATAGTCTCCATAAAACTGTGATTGAACCACATTATATAAACAAACACAAGTTCATGAGCAGATGGGTAGGAAACAATCGGATCCAGAACCATATAGATAGTTTAGAAAAAAGAACCATATAGATAGTTACAAAACCAACCATTAAACCACAATGTATTCTAAGCCTTAAAGCAAACATACCTCACCAGCCTTCCCATTGTTCCCGGCCATCGCTGAATCTGCCTCATCATCTACCTGCAACCAATGACCTTCTCATTAATTGAATTACTGGAGGAGACTAGGATTAATTATAATGTCATTAATCATTCTGGAGTATATGGGAAAAAGCAGACTAGGATTTATACACTATAGAGAGCAGAGGATCTAGATGGATTAATATCAAATTGACTACATGGATATGCAAATATAAGAGGAAAGTCACACTCACATAATAAACAACTAGAAAAGAGAAGAAAGCTTTTCTTTCTTATTGCTACCTTGATATCATTAGTTCAGAACAAAAGCTTAAGCATATGCATTTATGCATGCTATCAACAAAATACATAACAGTAGATTAACAGGTATAAAACATAATGGTCATCATGAACCACAATTGAAATTGGAAACGTTACGAGCACCAAAGGGCATCACAAATGAGCAATTACAGATCATAAAAACAATGGAATTGAAGAAAGAACAAGGAAATTTTATCGCCTTGGGATTGATGGGGAAACAGTTGGAAACTTTTTTTTCCAACTTTAACTTTACCTTTAGCTTATCATCTGCTTCTTCAAGCAAAGCTTTCTCATAAGCCTTGTCAACCTTTTCAGCTTCAGCAACATATGGCTGCCTCTCCTACCAAAGCAAAAAGTCCTAAAGAAATGTGATAAAAATTCATGGATTCGAAAATTTAACAACTGGGTAGGGCTTATAAAGATAATAGATTCACTCTTTACCTTCTCGGACATGTTCTTCCATGCCTCAAACCCTTCTCGGTTAATGGCAACCCAATTTCCAGCCTTGCTGGTCTTGGTAAACTCTTTCCTGATAAACCCACAGAATTAAATTCAACTTAGACTAAGAGCAAGTAATAGAAGCAATAAAGTAAGTAACTTTATATCTAAAAACATACATGAAGAAATGAAAAGGTGATATGACTATGAGTTGGTCATAAAAGCTCTGTTTCTGAACATCTAGGCATACGCCCTTGAACCTCTTCACCTTCGGATTGAGATCACATTCGTGCATGCCAGCCAAAGCAATGGGCACCGAAGCCCCACAGGTGTTGCTACAAACATATCAGAAGAAGCCCAAATGTTATCCGAATTTAGAAGAGAATTAAATTAAACCCAAAAAAGAAAGGGAAAAAAAAAAGAGAGAGAGAGAACATAATGGATTATATGCCATACCACTTTTGAAAAGCACTTCCATCTGCAGCACGAGGGATTCCATGAACCCTCTTCCGGGTCCTTCTCAGATTCGCCATTGAAGCACCACTATGCTCTGCAACTCTGCAACTTCTTTTTTTTCAACTATTTTTTTCAGGGAGGATTATAGGACTTCCGTAAATTAGTGGAAGACGAGCAGACAGGCGCACTTCCAGTTTTCGATTTACAGCTCATCTAAGATACGCTGCTGGTTAAGTGCGCATACACAATGTATTTTGTGGGCCAACCCACTTGTAATTTTTCGCCACTATGCCGACGTGGTCTGGTCCGTACGGCACAAGCCGTGCACGGTAGCTTAGTACAACTTGGGTTGCTAACTTGCACGCACACGTTTTGGGCGGGACGGGACGTTGCTGTAAAATTGAAGAGGGTACGCGAAAAGACGAGTAAAAAGTGAAAAAACAAAAACCGAAATTTCCCGCGGTAAACCCGAATTCGCGCAAAAGTGGAAATGGCGGCATAGCGCACAACGATTTTTTAATGAGAATAGTTAGTGACTAGTGAAAGCACAAAGCTTTTTTAAAATTTAAGAACCCTATTTGGTTACATATATACTAGAGTGATTCATTAAAATATAACGAAAATTATGCATACGTATCACATTGTAATTTATGTTTAAAATGCTCTTCATATATAAGGAGTCAAATATGTTTTAAGAGATATGTTACGAATGTGTTGTCTATTTTATATCCATACTATAAAATAAATATATATGTCGTACGGTACGAGATAATTGTACAAGTCAAAAAGACGAAATAAACCCTCTGTATTAATTTAGAATGGTAACATGGGTTTAAGTCAAAAAGACGAAATAAACCCTCTATATTAATTTAGAATAGTAACATGGGTTTGAGCCAAGGAAAGTATTTAACAATGTCACAATGTTTGGTCATTTGTGAATGATAGAGGGCACACCTCCAATCCAATCTGATCATATCAGATGAAATGATTTGTGGGAAGCTATAGTAGCTATAACTACAAGCCTACTAGACATAAGTGAATGATTAAGTAGAAGCTAAAGATTGAAGAGATAATAGCAATTCTCCATGTGGGCCTTAAGTACAAGATAAGAAATATAATTGCAGCTGCTCAAACCACAAACAGTAGTCTGATCTTAGTAAAAATTTCATTCCAAATCCATCTCATAATTAAAGTAACAAATCCCAACCCTCACTGCATAGTACAGATTAATAAATCACCTATACAGACAGACAGACATTAAAACCACACCTTCAATACACTAACATAAGCAGAAGCATAACTAAATAAACAAGGAAACTGAATTTGAAACTGTTGGTGCTCAAGGAGTTGCTGTTATTCAATCTAATGTGTCACATTGCGTTCAAAGTTTGCGTCTTTTTCTTACTTGGCTTCGACAGGGGAAGTGATATGTGGATGAACCCGAACTTCTTCCTCTGTGTCAAAAACGGCTTTTGATCATTTCCATCTTTCTCAACTTTTGCAGGAAATGTTAAATCCCCCCTCAGAGCATGAAGCATTTCGCTCAAAGCCACTCGGTGCATTTCGGGGTGGCCACGGTCCATTTCCTTTTTCTCCACAAAATCTTCAGGCAGAACTTGCTTCCTGCTAAGAACATCTCGCATTGAAACTGTTGACCTTAGATGAGGCTTTGGACCCTCATTTACTATCACTGACTTGTTCATCTCATTCATCGGAGAGTTCCGATTATAATCTGGTGATTGAAAATTGTTGAGGTTGGTGGTGTTATAAGCAGCAGCCTGTTCCTTGTGGTCACGCTCAGGTCCCCAGCTCTGGAGAGCCTCTTGAGCAGCGAGTTGCTTTCTATTTGCAATTTCCACTTTGTTTAGAGCCTCCTCCAAGAATTGTTTACTGTGTTTAACTTCTTCTGTTGCTTCTTTCAGCTTCCTTAGGATGGCCAGTTTAGAAGTATGAGCTTCATCAATTTGGCGCATGGCATCTACTAGCTTCTTCTTGAACCAGCCCTCAGCTTCTTGAGCTTTCAAGTTTAGAGGAGATTTCATTTGAGAACTAACACTCATTTTCTCAGGCTCTGGAAGGACATACCCTGATGAGCCCCCAGAGCTTGTTAGAGATTTGATTTCAGCAAGAGCAACAGCTTCTGCTGCTCTTGCTGCTTCTTCCATCCTTTTAGCTGCAACCCACCTCATTTCAGCAGTCTTCATAATGCTCTTGGCTTGTTCATTCCTTGACATTGCCCCTGATGCTTCAAAGTTCGCAGCTTCTGCCATTCTCTTAAATTGCATATGCTCCCTTGAAACACATGCTGAATTCTCAAAGCTAATGTTAGCATTGGTTTCTGCCTCATCAGCCATCTGTGTCTTCACTTTTATGTTCTTCATCTCCTCCTCCAGCGACGACACCCCTGCAAACTGCGAAGTCAGCTTCTCGCGGGTTTTTTCAAGCAAGTTCTTCTCGTTCTGCATTTTCTTATTCAAAGTTTCAACAGAAGATTGAATCACCCCAAGATCATTGATGGTTTTACCAAGGTTCAGTTTTGCTTGTTTCAACTCCGTCAAGATCAGATCAGGAGAAGTGTGGTAGGGACTTGAATTCCCCATCATGTGCTCATGGTTGCTGGCAAGATTTCTATGATTCTCCTTGTTCATTTCCTTGATAGCAGGGGATGATGAAAATTGTTCTTCTGAATGAAAATCCGGTGGCGAGACTACCGTCAAGCATTTCAAGGCTTCTTTCTGCAGCTGCCGCTTTAGCTCTTCGACAATCCTTTTAGTTGTTGCCAGTTCTTCTAGCACATCAAGTGTCTCTAGCTCTTTCACAATCAGATCCTTCTCCAACTCTGCTGCCTGCTCCTCCACCTTCTTCAAGTCAAACTCTTCAACCCCATTCTGCTTAATAATTCAAGAACTAAACATAAACAATCTAGTAGCAGAAATATCACAATTAAATTCGACATAAAGAAATGTTTTCACAATATATACATCTCATGGTTTATCCATAATAACACGTCTACTAAGAACCTGTTCCACAAGTTGCAAAAATGCATATATATTGAGTTCGAACCCCCTCCCCGTACATTTGCGTGACATTACAATAGCTTAGAATATCAAATTTGTTGCATAAAATTTACTGGTAACTACTACGCATAATTCCCAAGCCAAATTCTTATGTGGCCAAATATTAAACTAGCTTTTGATTTTTTACTCACAACGAAACAAAATTGGTCAAAGAGTCAGATTTTAACCCCACATAACAAGATAGTACTAGTATTTGAATTTCACCATGCTTACATAGTTTTCTCCGAGTTTGTAGAATGGTATCCAAGACCCGCGGCCACCAAAACGGGTCACAGCCTCTTCGACAGACCCGAAAGGCGGGGAAGTATCAATCTCCGCCCTCAAGCCCACCCTCCTTATCCCCGGCGGACTCGGGGACATAGAAGCTCCGTGCCCATGGCCCGAACCCGTGCTAAAACGGAAGTCCGACCCGGTCTCGGACCTCATTTCCTTGATGCCAGGTGTCCCCGGAAACGGTTCGGCGGCCATTAAGCAAAAATCTTTCACGACAAGAAAAAGAAGAAGAAGCCTCTGAAATGGAGGTTTGGGACGAACCCATCATGGAAAAACAAAACATCCTTCGTCTGGTTTTATGTGGTACCGAGGATGATGGGAGTGTGATGATGATGCTGGTGGTGGTGGGGGACCGAGTCGTGACTCGGTCGGTAAAGCCGGGTCCACTCGGCGAGCAAAGGGTGCAGTGGAAAGAAAAGCGCTTTTTGGTTTTGGTTTTCAGTGCGGGTGGAGGAACCGAAGAGATGGGGGTTCTCGTACATGACGTGGCGGAGCGGGAATGGCGGGAGGGAAAGTCAGGTGATTGTCTTTTGACTTTTTATGTGTTTCAGCCAATGAGGGCTCGGTACTACAGTTGATCCGTGAGTGCGAGGTAGGGGATCTGTTGGTTGACTAGTCTCTTCTGTGCTTTGATTCTGAGCGTGAATTGCGGTCTTTGGGAAAGTCATTGAGTCCCAGTTGCGGTTATGATTGACTTTTTAAAGGCCATGTTTGGTTGGTAAACTTTATGCGATTTTGTTTCACTTTTTTTTTATTATGATTTTTGTAAATTAGATCAAAGTGATTTTATTTTTTTTGCTTTTTGTTGTAAAGTAAAAGTGATTAAAGTGAACAAAAATCACTTATCCACGCCTTCACTTTTTTTTTCTTCCAAATTTAAAGAAGGATACAGCACATGGCACATTATCATAACAATCATGTCTTGTAATATTTTGTAAAAATATAAAGTAAATTATTTTATGCATGGTAAACCCTCAAAACAAGTTGTTTGGACTTAAGGCCCACATTAGATTGGTTTGCTACATTATAAGCCCATAGAAATAAGGGCCTATTCAAAATCATAAGCCCATGTCATTAGGTTGGACGGCTGCAAATTATATCAATAGAGCATCTCCAAAGCTCTCTCAACAAAGGGGAGTTTCTTAACTGAAATTGTAAAGATGTGTGTTGAAAAAATGATCAACTTCCAAGGGGCTAAGCAAGATTTGGTAGCAAAAATAACCGAGATGCTTGAAGTTGGAGATTCTAAGTAAGAATACAGAAAACGACTCGTGATGACTAGCTGTATCAAATATTGTAAGATTATAGTTACATGCTTCGAACATTAGATCATGTGTGAATTAAAAAGTTAAACTGAAAAAACCCACAGCTCAAAAGCGACTGGCTAAATAAGTAGCTTTGTAATAAATTTAGTGAGCATTTAGCCGAAAAAGAAGTGATAGACATTTACGTAAGTCAACAACCACACAATATCATCAAACACATGCAAACGTCTAATATCATCATAAACCCACTCTAGATGGCACATCAACAAATTTCTTTTTCTTTTTCTTTTTTTTTCTTTTTTAATAATAAAATGCGGTTGGTCTACTATTACTCTATTAATTATGATTCTATCTCTTGGCCACCTATTCCGCGTCCTGCCTGTCCGCGCCTCATTTTCTATTTATTTGTACTACTAAAAATAGGTGAATAGGGCGTCAATAGTGTCAACAGAAATCCTTGACAAGACGGAATATACATATATATATATATATATATTTTTATATGAGTCACATTTCTATTACATGTATATTTTCTTTTCACATGCATGGCTTCTTTTGGACTATTTATTAACTAGCGTTTATTTGAGAGTGTGTTTGGAAGGAGTAAAAGCATTTTTTAGCAACTAAAAGTAGTTCTGATTGTATTTAGCATAACAATTTAAAAGTGCTTATGGGTGAAAAACAAAATGCTTTCTGAAAAAGTGCATATTAGGTGCTTCTTTGTAAGTGCTTTTTTAAGAAGCATTTGGATTTTAAACAAAATTTTCATCGTTGTACTAATAAAAGAGCATATGAGCATAAGTGATTCTTAAAAAAGCAATCTCAAACGAACAAACGCTTTCTAATAATCAAAAGCACTTTTGACATTGATCGACATAAAAACATAAACATGAGTAAGTTAAGAATGTAATATGAATACTAAGGGAATTATAACTTAAGCGGTTAAGATCAGTTACCTTTCTTATATCACCAACAACAAAATGCAATATGTATCGTTCCAATAGGAGCATGACATAGCCTACGAAGTACAAACCATGCAGGGAGAATAAAGCAGTGACAATTATGTTGCATATACAATTATCCCAAAAAGACAAGTACAGAAGGAAAAAGAAGAAGTTGGGGCATGTGAGATATGAGATGTATGTTCTAAGCTCCCGTTGATTGCGCATTGTAAACATGGGTTGCTTGCCTTGAGTTGAATTTATATTGCTTGGTCTGAGTTGAGCTCACAACTGATCACAAACAAAACGTTAAATCCTATTACGTACACATAACAAACCTATTAATGATTAACTGCCCAAGAACCATGCGACCAGACCAGGTCTCCCAACCCCTCCCCTAGAGAGAGAGAGACAGAGAGACAGAGAGAGAGAGAGAGAGAAGCATATCTTCATTTCTTGTTTTTTAGCGGCAAAGGATTGAGACTGGGTTTAAAGCCGTGGGTCATAGGCTCTTAAATTAGGACACACAAACTGGTGGGGGTTGGGGGTTGTTGAACATTTTCAATTTCAATTTCAATTAGTGCAGCATTATAATTACTGATTATATACCCATTACAAAGATGAGCTAGCTAAATTTTGTACCACTTGTTCGTACAAATGTTTATGAATGTTGGGGGACCATGGTCACATGCAGAAAGAAAACATCAATTTAATCCACCAAATGACATTTTCTACCACATTTGTCAGAAGCAGTAGTCATATTTTACTGATGGTTAATTTCTGACATTTTTGAGTTAAAGTCGCAATTTCTGACATTTAAGCGATGTAGCTTAAATATTTATTCTACGTATCGTATCGAAATAGACACATTATTGTATATAACTGTAACACCTCTCGAAATCCCTATAGTCCATAATTAAATAAGAAAAAATGCAAATGAGCATGTTTTTTGAGCCAGCAGCACCATCTGGCTTCCTCAGAATTATTCTGCCATTAGAACAACTAATCAGGGACATATGGATCCCGACCAGAACTCATTTATGACACAGCGATCATCTCTAACCAAATCCCAATCTTTCTCAACTGTTTTTGTTATGGCGATTAATTCATGGTCCTGCTCAATCCATGTCACGTCTATCAAACGGCCTCATATTATATGTTCTTCCAAAAAAATTTTTTATTTTTTTTATTTTTGGTCTGAAACTTCCAAAATTTATTTATTGCCAAAGGAACGCAGCACCTAAATAATTTATTTCCTTTAAAATAAAATAAAAATTTAATCCAACTCCCTTTCCAAACCTAGCAGCTAAATAATAATATATTAACTGAGGAAACCCTATCTCACAAATTTTTAAACTCCAATAAGTTGATGTCGTATTGAGACAGAATTCCGGAAACCAGCATTTATTGTTTCTGAACATTTTGTATATATATATATTTTATGAGCCTACAAATGTGTGGAGCCTTAAAACCCACATTCAACTGCTAACCAGTCTAGAAGATATTTCTATTTAATTCAAGCAAGCAAATATCAGCTACCTAGCCTAGCTACCCTGCTTCATCTTCGGATCTTGAATTTTCATCAGATCTGCTAGCCAAGAGAGAGAGAGAGAGAGAGAGAGAGCTCAGCTAGCCAAGGGCAGATTCTAGCAGAGACCCAAAAGGCAGAAGCAGAAGCAGTTGATCGTATTTAATCCAAAATGGTGGTTGACAACAAGTACTTGTCCTCGAAGCTTGTCTCCAAGGAAGAAGCCTCCATGGCCAACGCTTCTTGCAGAGTCTACTACGGAGAAGCAGCAGGTGCAATTCCATTCATGTGGGAGTCTCAGCCAGGAACACCCAAGCACCCTTCTTCAGAGTCTTCTCTTCCTCCTCTCACACCCCCACCTTCCTATTCCACCACCCCACCAATCTCTAAACGCACCCACAAAATCACCTCCAAATCAAAGTTTCTGGACACCATTTTTCCCAGGCTGAGGTCTTCGAGGAAAATGCTCAAGCCACCCAATTCCATGTCACCACCATCACTGTCCTCCGCATCCTTATCATCCTCATCATGGTCGTCATCATCATCATCATCAAACTACTCATCTTCCTCAGCATCAAGTTTGAGAAACAAAGGGGCCCGCAAATTTTATCACAAATATGAGGAAGATTATGATGAGCATGATCATCATGAATCAAAATCTGGATCACCTAATTCAACTTTATGCTTTGGTGGGAAACGCAGAGGTGCAAATATGAATGGGATCCGAGGCTGCTATTCAATGAAGACCATAAGATTTGGGTTCTTGTCCATTGTTAACCACGAATCTGGCCGAGTTACTAATAATAATGCTTAGAATTAATTTTCTGTGTGCGGTCGTGCTAATTAAATCTTTATTTTTCTTTTTTCTTTTTTCTTTTGGGTTTTAGAATTAATCTTAATTCTAGTAGTGTAAGTGGGCGTGTAGAGTGATGTTTATCCATTGATGTCGTCGTATCTTATGATGAAATGTATAATGCACGGAATTTACTGTTTTTTATATTTTTGTACATTATTTTACGTTTTACCGTCATATTAATTTGAGTTTGCTGGAGTTATAAATCTCAGTTTGTCTATGAAGAGCTGTAGACGACGTAGCTTTACAGTCAATGTCATGTTGATTTGGGGCGGCACTTAATATATAAACTGTTTAACATAAAGAAAAAAGAGAGAGTATCTTTTGTTAGTTTGACATGAAGATGAGGTATCACATTTATTTCTACTTTTAGCAGCGCCTGTTTAAGCAGATAGCAGATACATGCAGGTGCAGTCGTTGGTGCCTTCAATGCAACAGGATGCATACACGTGAGAATAAAGGAGAGCTACAACAACTCAATTACCCTAACAGAGAATAAAGGCCCTACAATTAATGTTCAAAAAAGAAGCTATACCTAACAATGGCATCTTGTCAAAAAATAAATAAATAAATTATGGCATCTTGTGACGAGTATTAGTATGAGAGGTTTAAGTTTGAATCCCCTATTCTGTTAATAAAAGATATCTTAATATTGGAAGAGGTTTTAAGTTTGAATCTCATATCCCGATTGATGATCCACAGCTGTGTATGTATTCTGTTTTATAGTTTTCAACCCATCCTCTTTTAGTAATACTTAAATTTAACTTTCTATGTAATTAAAGAAAGAGAGCTAAGGTTAAGGTTTATGTGTATTTTTCGAACCTTGGGAGTGTTGTGAGTAATATGTTTATTTTTTCTTTTTGAAAGAAAACATCTCTACACGTTACACACACATTTGGTTTCGGCCCTAGTTCAATGCGGAAATTACACTAAAGCCCAACTCCTGCGGGCCATTATTCTATTTGAGGGAGAGGTTCACCAGTTTTGGGCTTTGTATACTGGGCTTAAATTGAAAGCTTTGATCACTGTCCTTTTTGGTCAATTTCTTTTGGTAGGATAAGGATATACAACTAAGAATGCACGGTGTATAATGTTTTTCTGTTGATAATGTGTGACTATAATTTAGAGGGAAGGGTATTCGAATATCTTAATCAACTGGTACGTACATATTATTCTACTTTTGTTTTTACAAGCGGTTGTCTAAACTACAAAGGGAAATGAGAATTTCTCACACACATACACTATCAAAGTGTCATGGAAGTTCAAACCTGAGATCATTGGCTTGCAAGTTAAGGCCTTACTCTTCTACTTTTTGTACTACTTAAACTGTTATTATCATAATATCGTACGTGCAAGAGTTTTTCATCGCAAATATCATATTCTTCTATCTAATGTTCATAAGAAAAGGGGATCAATGTTGGTTCAAAAAATAAAGTCCAGCATTGACGAGAGAAGTTTAGACATAAGAAACGAATTTCCCAAGTAAAAGAAAAACAAGTAGATTAGATATAATTAGGGAATAAGGATTCGAAGGAGCTGGAGGTGTACAAGTAACAGGTTTTTTCTTTTTTGGCTAGTGGGAGAAGTCTCAGGTTGTCATAAACTTGATAGCTACATTTTACAACCAAAACCAAAGTTCATGCACACAACTTATAATAGGTTGACCTTATATATATATATATATAATTGAGAGATTTGAAGCGAATGTTTGTTCGGTATAAAGAGTTGAAAATGAAAATGCAAATGTGTGGTAGGCATAGGTTTTCAGATCAAACACACCATGGCATATATGGTCCATGAAAGCAGCTGGTTTACATATATAAATCTATGGTAACTTGGTAAGCTATTGGGTGTTCAAACTGGAGGAAGTGGGTAATTAAGTTCTGGATTTTGGTGCAGAGAGATGAGAGTGAAAGAGTGAAAGAGTGAGAAAGTAGGTTGGGGATGAGAGAACATCGGGGCGACTTGTCAGCCATAAAATACGGGTCAAACAAGAGTAAGATGGTGCCATATTCCTTACAATCTAAGCAATATATATATAAATATATATATATGTATATAAATGTACATATAAAATAATTAGGGATTTAATCCCCCTATTAATTCCTTTGTCTTCAAATTTATTCTTCTCTTCCTTTTCCCTCCCTTTCACCACCCACTTTTGACATAACCCTCCTCAAAATCACAACTCAGAATTACGCCTTAATTGGCTTAGTAATTAGGTCATTTGGAAACTTAGCTTATGTGTTTGATTTGAAGTAGATTGCACCACTGTTGTAGTTACATGCAGTTTTCGTATAACTAGGGATATATCAGATAGTCAGTCGATCGAGAACCTAATTTGATTTCTATAGTGTCAAGCATGCGTGTGCCATGTTGTTATGGCACGCACCTCGAAATTAAGGCATTGGGTTTCTTCTTAAGTTAATCATTAATTAATTAAATTATCAGCCATCTGATTAACAAAAAAAGTACATTAAATCATTGAAGCTGTTGACAGCACTGGTTAAAATTATGGGCAATGCAGGATTTGGAGTAGAAATAAACAGCTAGCTAGGTTAGATGAATCGCAATCTTTCCATTTATATATGAAAATGTAGGTAAGCTGTCCAGAAAATATGTATCTGTCTCTGTAAATATCCGTCGGCATAATAACTTATCTATTGAAGGGTGCCTAGTCTTTTTCTATGGACATCATCACTGATCTGATGTGTTGAGTAATTTTACAGAGCAGTGAGCTGCTTGTTGAAGTGGGAGGTGTACACTTCTGCTAACAGTTGCCAAACCAAACGCCGGTGACTTGTTGCCATGCCCATGATATATACAACCCATCTTTAGGAATTATTAGCGGAGTTTAAGATGATGACTGAAAAAAGAACAATTAATCACAAGCAACTTGGTTTGTCCCATCAATCAAGATTGGACTGTCTCATTTTCTTTTGTTGTTGTTGTTGTTGTTGTTGTGTGTGCGTGTGTGTGCGTTTTCTTTTTGCTTGCAAGTATGGCTGACTAAATTAGACAAGGAATATAATATAATAAACTTTTTTTCGAATGAGAATATAGATGACTGGCCAGCTAGTTTCATCATTGTTGGTTTGAATTTACTATAATCCATATGCGTACAACAGTGGTGAAAGAGGGAAAATATTCATCCATGTTTGACAAATTATACTTCTGACTAAAATCATATGGGTCTCAAATTGGTCTTAGCCCTTCAAGCACAAATTGCGGTTTTCATATGGTGATGATGCTGATATAAAATTTCGTTTTCGGAGCTGGATCCCAGACATGGGCAAGGTGGGTTCTTAGATTTGACAAGAAACTAACATGCTTATTACAATTTAATTACATATGATCACTTTTTCATTTATTTTTTTAATAATGACTAATGCTTACTTCTAGTGTGTCATATTTATGCGGTATTGTTTTATTCTGAAAAAGAGGACGAGAGTTAGATTCTTATCGTAGTTGTGAAATACTCTATTACTGAGCAACTGACCACCTACAAAAAAAATTATATCTTAGCATTCTTCTTAATAGTTTATCTTAGATTATTAGGAAAAGTACATTGGTATAATGATCTGTATTCAAATTTCAAAGAGAAAAAAAAAGGAGAGGAAAAAGAAAGTTAGGTCTGTCCTGAGAATTAATGAAGCAAGAGCCACATGCAGTCTATGAAATCAAATGGTTGATTCAAAAAGTCAAAACACATCTAAGGACTCACACGTGAGCAAGAGAGAGAGAGAGAGCAAGCAGTCAGAGAGCTGGCATTTATATGCTTCTCTCTCTCTCTCCCGCTCCCTATCTCTCTTCTCTCTCCATTGATGCCTCTTTTTATTCTCAGACTCAGCAGATGAGAGTGCTCTGCTGTTTGATCTCTGAAGAACCATAATTCCTGAAATCCTCGTACATCAACCAAAGAGATCGTTCCAATCCAACCAAACCCATCATTTCATCACCAACAAACAAAAGCATCATCACCAGCTTCTCTGCTTCCCCTCTTACAATTTCAGTCTCAGAAGTTGTACTCTCTAACACTCCAACCTCTTTTGTCTCTTAATTTCTTTTTTAAACAATATCACCAGTGGACCACTTTTCTAGTGTACCTTGCCTTTGAAGTACCCTCATTTGTATTTGTACCCCCTTATTTTACTTCCTTCCTTTCCTTCAAACCCTTTCTCTCTTTCTCCTTTGGCAGCACCCTATCCTCTCCCCAGAGAGCATGCCTGAATGTCCAGAGAAAGGTAACCTCTCTCTCTCTCGCTCTCCCTTTTGTTTTTTTTTGGTTCTCTCTCCTAAAATTGCATCATCAATAGGAACTTTAATTAATTAAATTTACTTTTCAATCTAATTAATTACAACATTTTTTTATGTCTTATTTATATATAAGAGTACCATGGCAATTTTGCTTATGCATTTTCTCTGCTTCTCTACTTAATTGTAGGGAGATATCTGATGAGATAGGCAAGAAGATTAAGAGAGAAACTGATGCTTCTTCTCATCATCGAATGGGAAGAAGACACATGTTGGGCCCTCCCGGAACCCTAAACACCATCACCCCTTGTGCTGCCTGTAAGCTCCTCAGACGAAGATGTGCTCAGGAATGCCCCTTTTCTCCTTACTTCTCTCCCCACGAACCCCAAAAGTTCGCCTCCGTCCACAAGGTCTTTGGTGCCAGCAACGTCTCCAAGATGCTCATGGTAAGTAACTTATCATAAACCCTAATTGTTCAAATCGTCATTATGCATTGATCATTTACATTCAATTTTGGGGAAAGAGTCTTTGGTACCGATACAAACACTGCAGTGTAGATACTTCGCTGCCGTTCAAGTTTATTTGTTCTTAATTACATTAATTATTTCTGATTTTTGTTTGCTTGCGTGTGTGTTTGATGTAATTAATTAATTCAGGAGGTGCCGGAGAGTCAACGAGCAGATGCTGCAAATAGTCTTGTTTATGAAGCAAATGTGAGGCTAAGAGATCCAGTTTATGGATGCATGGGTGCGATTTCAGCTTTGCAACAACAGGTTCAATCTTTACAAGCTGAGCTCAATGCAGTTAGGGGTGAGATACTTAAATACAAATATAGGGAAGCGAATCTCCTTCCTTCTAATTCTCATCATATGGCTTTGTTCTCTACTTCGGGGGCTGTTTCGATTGCTTCCCTGCCGCAGACCCCACAGCAGCCTCCCCCGCCACCTCCGCCTCCACCTCTACCTCCTACCTCCTCCTCTTCTTCTATGTACACTAATCAACCAAACACCGCGGACTATAGCACCCTTTCAAGTGAAAATGTTTCCTTCTTTGGTTAAAATCTTAATTATTATTAGACTCATGAAATCAAGAGAGATCGATCCGATTTAATTTTCTTATTATGATGATTTTTCGAGTGGAATAAAATGATGACAAAGAGAGAATTATATAATTTATATTATATATTGGCTGCTTGGGGTTTTTTTAGTTTCTTAGTTACTGTCTTAATCCAATTTAGGTCCCTATTTTGTCTCTAGATATTGTTGGTTGTTATGTTCCTTTCTTCATGCCACATATTAACTTTAATTTCCACCAATTTTCTTCTACTTCCTCCTAGTTATAGTTATTGAACGGCCACTATAGCCACCAAAACTAAACATGTTATCATTTCTTCTTCCGCCACTTCTGAATTAGACAGAAGAACAAATTTTTACTGAAACCCTAATACCAGCTTACATTAGGGGAAAAAAATCTGCGGCTGAGAGCTCTGTGGTGGTGATGTTAGGTTTGGTTGGGATTGGGCTTAATCATGGTGTCATTTTCGCGTGCTGTGATCTAGTTTGTCTATAGACTACATAGACAATTGCACATGTTAGCCTCTGCCAATATAGGATCATGAATTATTCTTAATTTGGAGAAATTAATATATTGAAGTTGGGGGAGGAGACAAAGGCTTGTGAAATGTTTTGTGTTCTAAGGAGGCCTGTATGTTGTATTAATGTGGGATAAGTTAACCCTTGTAATGATATCGATTATTCTACTTTATCTCTAATCTATGACAATAAATACTTTGCAGAGTGATTCTGGATAAATTATTAAGGTTACTTCCTTCGTAGGACTAATATTTTAAGGGACAAGTTGGTAACCCTGAACCAGCATATGATATAAGAATCTAAATAATATTATTAGATAACTAAGTTTATTAATTTTAGAATATAAGCATCCAACTCAAAACGAATTAGTAATGAGCGGAGAAGTCCAAATTGGTTTATTAAACTACTATGGCAAGTCTTCTATTTCCGACATGGGATTATACTCTCAACACAAAAACAGTGGCTATGGGTGGCTAGAAAAATAATTCAATGGTTCTTCGTTATACATAAATTACGTCCTATATGTTATAGTTGAATTCGGCTTGTCTATAAGAAATGTTACAAAGTTTTGGGGATAACTTGATTGTGAAATTGTGAAGGGATCTTATGTAAAGGGCAGTTTTGTAAAATGAAATAATGATCAGTATAATCAAACAATGCACATACATATATGTATGTTGCTATTTAGTGAAGTTACAGCATATTTTGTGAAGTAGATGTATCTGTATTTGTTGGATGGTCAATGGTCCTGCCAGCTGCTAGATTAGTTTCTCAAAGCGGTTTGGTTTCCTTGGCGTGTGGATTTCAACCCAAGTAGTGGAATTCGGGAAAGAAGGAACCTCATGAATTACATAACCAAGAAAACCAAATGGAGAATTTCAATCCTTGTTTATATATATATATATAGAGAGAGAGAGAGAGAGAGAGAGAGAGAGAGAGAGAGAGAGAGAGAGCTCTACTGAGTTTCGTCAGCCTCATTCAAGTCTCTAGAACCAAGATGTGATGGAATTTGGTCTTATGTCATGGGTTGCTTAAAATAGTGGCATCTTATCTTGTCTTCGTACAACCCCCTTTGATTTCTATATTGAAAACTGTTCAAAGAAATGCGATCGTCTACATGCCCTTCTTTATACAGCAAGATGGTGTGTGTATACAGCTTTGAAACCAAAAGGAGATTAATTAATAATTTGATATGGAACTAAAGCTCCAATGGATCAGAAGGTTAGCACATATATATATATATATATATAGCTGAGGAAGGAAACTATAATTAGGGTTGTTTGAGTTTATTTTTGTTTGGAATCTCTTGAATCTATCAATATGCATGTGAGTATAGAGGTTTCCCAAGGTCTAGTATGCATGTACTTATGAATATGCATGCATATATATGCTTGCCTGCTTAGATCTCACTCGACACTCTTTCAAACATTTTGAGACATCATTATAACTGATAATTGATCGATATGCTTGATTAATTGTGTACATTCTAACATAAGCCTCCATTTGGTTAATTTTTAAAACAACTAATTAAACGGAATTTTGCTACCTAATTTCTTCCCCTAAAGGAAATAGGCAAATGAGGAAAATATTGGTGTTCAAGATAACCTATGTTGTTGTGTGGCGGATTTATATTGCAAGTTTGAGTGCATGTGGTTATGGTTGCTGAATCGGGGATTTTAGTTATTTTTGGGTTGTGCTTGATTCTCTCCAGATCAATTCAACATGTTGTTGTGTTTGGTCACGAGATAAGATTTATTCATATTCATCACATCTTTACTTGTGCTTGTGTTTGTTTATCGATAAAAAACCTATCGCTTAAAAAAAATTTGGGGGATCTCCTTATTTGATATTGATTAGCAGCCTTGAGATTCAAGTACGAATGAGAAAGAAAACCTAGATATGCTTCGTTTGAAGAGATATTTATAAGAGTCGGTGCAATTTTATTATCCATGCAGTGCTTATCACCGGACCAGATAATGCCTCTCAATTTTCCTACTTAATTTGAAGGTGTCGGCCTACGCCACCCTGATTAATTATACGTTTTAATCTGAATACAAATCTAGGTAGAGCTAGCTCTCCTAATGAAGATAAATTCACCTTTTTGGAACTTGCAAGTGGTTTGATTTAGACTAGCAAGCTCAGTTAGAGACCATCTCTGAAGTCACTAATCGAGTCTTGAAGTCAGAGTTAATTGACCTTACGAAGAATTAGAAGATGATTATGGCTTATGTTAACAAATATAAACAAGTTCCTGATCAAAAAATAAATTAAGAAATCATAATATTTGACCAATGTTTCTCTCTCTAGCACATGTATGCTCTCAAATCTCGAGGATGAAACTAAACCAAATGCTAGCTAGCTGTAGTCATGCAGGAATATTTCGTACAAATGTGTAAATTATAGTGATAGGAAGAAAGAAAGATCACAAACTTAAGAACCCTAGTGGTAAATTAATTAGGCCCCGGAATAGACAATTTGTGCACTGAATTTTAAACAAGAGTGCACACATGACGACTCTGGGAAGTTGAGGAATATATATATATATGATTTTTTTGACTGCCATGGCATTTATGTGGGTTGACAACTTTAGCTTATATAATCATAAGGATGTCAACAATGAGAATAGATTAACATAATAGCTTTCATGTGATGCAGAACTAAATTCTTCCCGATATTGTTTAATCATTTTATTTTTCTTGAATTGTTTAATTTTAAGGGAGGGTGATTCGAATGCTGAGTACAACAAAGTGGACAACTGCTTTAGCTAATTGGTCTAACCCATTATATGTGTGTAATTGTTTAACCAAAGTTGAAAGATTACCACATTAAAGTTTTCTCAATTGAGCATTATGTTTTTTTTTTAAATTTAAATTTTTTATACACAAGAGAGAATGTGAGATTGAATTCAGAAGATTGTTAGGGGTCCATTTGGTATTCTACTCAAAAATTATGAAATTTTTTTAATTTAAAAACATGAGTTTTAAAATACTAATTTTAAAATCTAAAAACTTGTTTGGCATTGCACTCCAAACTATTTTTAAGATCTTAAAAGAATTGAAATTAAAATCAGAAAATCAGAAACCCTAATTCTCAAATTGAAAATAAGAAAAGGCAAAGGAGAGAGGGAGGAGAGAGAGAAAGAGACGGGAGAGTGAGGAGAGATAGAGACGAGGGAGAGGGAGGATAGAGAATCTCACTTTTTTTTGTTTTCAATAATAGGGATGTTTTTGAGTTTTAAAAATGGGTCTACTAAATGAATTTTTCGAGATTTGTAATTAAAATATGTTTTTGAGTTTATAAAATTAGATCCAAATAGGACACCAAACGGGTTCTAAATCACTGACTTCTAAACAAATTAATTAACACTATGTTGTTTTTTTAGAGAGAACCTCGTTCACTTAACAAATCATATAATAGAGCGTCCTGAATAGGATCATGGGGCACCTCAAACCAAATAAAGTTGTCTACATTGTGCAAACTGAATCGAGCAAGTCAGTGTTCAACATCATTTGCTTCCCTATAAGTAAATTGAAAAAGAGAACTAGGAATCTTTTTTCTTGAGATGCTTTACATATTCAACAATGGTACCAACGTTTATAATGTTAATCTTGTTAATGGTAACGTTTATGCCTTTTTAGCAGATTCGTATGTTGGCTAGAAATTGCTTAATTAGCAAAATTGGTGAAGTCAAGTGCTATGGTCAATAAATTCCCCATGCAATTATGGATTGTATTTGTGAATGCAAAGTCAACTCAACTAGAATGTTGACCACCGAAACGATTAATTAATTAATTCGAGCAGTAATCACGTGTTAACAAGTTTAGATTTTATAGTTAGCACAATCTATTAGGACAGGCCTCGATCGAGCTAGGCCCAAATTCTAGTATCCTAAATGGCAAGGCAAAAAAGAAACTCTTTAGACACCCTGAAAGGCACCCAACAAAAACATATACGCATCCCTGATTGCAAACAAGAACAAAACTCTGATATGTGACACCTTCTAAGAGAAATCATGAAAGCAATTAATTAAATGTTAAATCATGCAATATAGAGGTTAAATTATTGGATTAATCCTCCTGCAATTCAACCTGATCTCGCCAGCTGGACCAATGAGGGGGTTGACGCTTCCCATCTTGATCATGGCAGACGCAAAGTCGTTAAAGAAGGCTTCTTGGTCTTCACTGTAGGTGCGCACTATGGGATCAGTTTTGCCTCCACTGAAGAGCTGCTGATCAGAGTGGAGGAGCCCTTTATTCTGGACAAGGTTTTTGTAGTAGCTGTTGTCAAACACTATTGGGGTTTGAGCATCAATTGGAGCCAAGTTGGCGTCACCTGAGCCTTTAGATCTTGGGCATTTTAATCTCCTTTTCTGGGCAAGCTCTTTGTTCATGTTTCTCTCATTGTATATGCGCTCTCTGAAGGAGTGACATTGTGCTTCTCCAAGTGTATGAGCTCCTGGCAGGTAA